GTGGCTGCTTTTGGACGTCTGTCTCCAGTAGTCTTTCCTACTCTTCCTGTTGTAGGAAGGCCTGTTTCCTGTTGTGAGATTCCTGATTAGGCTCTGCACTATTTTAGTCTGCAGAAGGCCTGTGCAGCAGGTTGCTTCTCTGCTTTTGATTCTGATTTGTGGAAAGCGAAGCCAGATCACAGTCTGGCCACGACAGAGCATCTGAATCCTTTGAGAAATCTAAAAATACTGTAACTCTACTGAAAAGATCTGAAGTATTCAGAGGTACAATGGAGATCTAAATATTTATTTTTTTAGTGAAGTTTTACTCTGTTTCTTTTGTTTTTAGCATTCAGTGTTTATCAGCTTCACGTTGTCTTTTTTATCTATCTCTGAAGGTTAGTTGTCCACCTTTAGTGTTCACAAGATCTCCTTGTCCAGGTTGAGACTGGAATTTGTGTCTCCACAGGTAAAAAGATGTTTTCCAACTTTTTCTCTGTTTTGTCTCTGTAGATTTTTGATTCTGCTGGTAGTGAGCAGAGTGAATACAGTCCTGACATAATTGGAATGACTTTGCAGTTGTATAAGTTACTTTTTGTGACAAGAGAGAATGTACCGCAATGGCTGGCACTAAAAAGGAGGCAAAGGCCTTTTATTCCTCCCCTATCACCTCAATTAGTCCTATTCTGCCTCTAAGCAAACTATGAGATAGTATTGCATAAGTGTCCGTTTATTTCTACTGCATAGCTACCAATGGCAAGAGATAAAATAACGTTTTGCCCTGATTGCTATTAGTAGCATGTGCATGGAAAGGTACTAGCAGTAAATTTGTTTACTTTGAAGTTCTGTTTTGTTCTTGTGTTTCTTTCCTATGCTCTATTTCATCCATGCTGGAAAAATTCCTGCATGCCTGACCAGGGACACCCAGATCCTGCAGCCAGCTGTAATATTTAAGAATGCTTGAATTCCCAAAGGGAATGGTTGGAAGGGAGAAGACAGTTCAAGAGTTTCTCCGTTTCCCTTACAACTTGTTGTTCAGTCTACACCCTTCTTCTGTAAAACAGTTATGTTGTGCCTGTTACTTGCTCTTTATCTCGAGTTTTGTGTGTCAGGGAGTGAGGAGACAGATACTGACTTCAGTGATGCGGGAATTTGTGTTGTCATTTCTTATCACAGGCCAAGGCAAGGTGCTTTTCCCCCTGGCCTGCAGCACAGGACATTCTATATTTTTCTCCTTCTTACTATTCACTTTTGTCTCATTTTCTCATTGTTTTCCTTCATCCTTGCATTGAAAATTTCTACTTGTTTTTCTTTTCTTTACCATTCTTCATCTCACTTCATTTCCTAGCTCAAATGATGGAAAATATGATTATTTTCAGAATACAAATTTATGTGAAAGATTCTTTTAATTGTCTTCAGAAAAAAAATATGAGAAAGTTAACCACAGCAGCCCTTATATGATATTTTAATAAATGAGGCATTGGTAGAGGCCAGGAAATTGAAAGCTAATTTAACACTGAACCAGACCCCTGCATCTGTGGGAAAGTGATGCTGTTCTGCAGTCCTGGTGGAAGCTGCCTTCACTTCATCTTTCCTAACTCTTTCCAGTATCTTCTGTAGCATTACTATAACTTGGACAATTTTTGTTGTTGTTGTTGTTTAAATACATACATTTTGGCTCTTGCATACTGTTGCTACTACAGCTTGCCTTTGCCAGGAAAGAATTAGGTTATGTTTAACCAGGGTCCTCTACAATTCTGATTTGAATGTAGCAGGAGCACATGCACACAGTTGGTTATTTGTGTTTAATGGGCAAGATGAAACTTTGCTGCCTTCCTCCTCCCTCCACAATTCCAAGCTCTTTCCAGCTGCTGCTTTTTCTTATGTCTGGGCAGCATGACCTGGACTTCCAGTAGCAGATTGACTCTGCTTTTCTGTGTTGTTGTTTCTGTAAAAAACTTACCTTCATAACAACGAAATCTTCATACATTGTAGTATGTTCTTCTCTGATAGTGTTTCACACAGAAGGAACTAAAAATGACCTTTAGTAAAGTTCCCCAGGGAGTCACAAGGTTGTCACAAGACAAAGGCAGTTTTCTTTCTTGAAGAAGTAGCTATGAACTATGAGTCCAATATAACATAGTAGGGCCACTGCATTCATTTTGAAATTTGGAAGAGAAGATCAGGAAGAGTTATTAAGCTACGGATTCCAAGTTATCTGCAAAAACCAAGACATAGGTACACAGCAGTTTCAGTAGAAGGGATCCTGAAAAGAGATCAAAGCCACTCAGCTAAGATGGAAGAAGTCGCTCCTGGCAGTAGCAATTACTGCTAGCATTTTTCACTTATTAAGACAACTGCAAAATTAGCCACAGTGAGACTATCTCTGATTCTGTATCTTCTTTCTAGGGCAGATAATCTGTCAGGTCTCAGCTCAGCCACACTCCAAACAGGCCCAGCTTGAGAAAGCTTTCTGTTTTCTTTGCTTCAGAGGGAGTCTTCAGTTCATCCTGTTGATACAATAGCATAGGATCTAGACTGCCTGAATATACAGGCTTGCAAGGAGGTTGCCACAGGTGATATCCATCAAGTATTTGTGCAACGTATGCAGGTAGACCTCACAATATCTTTCACAGTTTGCTCTAGTGGGGCAAAACTTCCATAGATTCCAGGACAGATCTATATTAATACTCAGTATTCTATAGCTTTTTCCAATCAACCCATGCCAATTTCTAATAGGCATAAATTAGATAAGATTTGGTACTCTACTGTTCCAAAGTTTTACTCTAATGCAAATATTTTAGAGGCAAAAAGGTCTGAACATAAAGTGTCTTTTTATAGGTGTTAATTTCTTGGGCAGTCAATATTTGATGCCTGACAACATCAAATATTGACTAGTCATTAGAGTCCCACCTCATTTCTTCTTACATCACTTGTTTCTGAAATCCTATCCCATTGCAGGTCATGAATCGATTTGCAATCAAAAATGCACTAACTGCAAAAAGGCAGTGTGCCATAAGTCTGAGAAAATTTATGTTGTTTCTTGCTTGAGTGAGTTACTACCACATACATTAGGATATGTTTCTGTCACAGCAGTAGAATCTTTGTGTTATATTCTGGTTGATCTGTCCTAAACTGTGTCAGGAAGGCCTGAATAAGATTTCTGTCTTTAACAGTGACATTTCTCTTTTAAACTGATCCAACCTCAGATTGTTGAGAGGCAATCAGCAAAATCACTGCCAAATAAGACCTGGAGTATGAAATTGGAGGAGACTAATTGAACAAAAAGACTGAAGGGATATGATTATTTTATCTAGCTTATGAAGACAGCAATTATTTTAATATGACAGAGGGGAAGCAGGCAACAGGATAAAATTGCTGAAATGACTTGGTGAAATTCTGAGAGGAAAAATACATCCTCCTGAGTCAGCTGAGTGTGTTCCCTGGAAGTGCAGTCCTATGCTAAGCGCCAATCAATATTTTTGTTTGCTCCCCATGTGTGCCTGTCTAATCTGTGCCTGTATATTAGGCTTGGCTTACATCTTCTCTCCTATCCGTCTCTATTAACGTCACCACCATCCACCTGCAGCTAAGTAAACATTAGCTCTAGCAATAGCGTGCTCTTTAGAACAAACTACCTGGCTATGCAGCCAAGGTTGGCTCTGCAGAAAACGTTAATCAGAAATACGTTAGGGACCTTACAATGGATCACCTTGTGCAGGAAAACAGTGGCTGCTCCCAAAGTGACCTGTGGCAGGACAGTCTGTCAAGACTCGTCTCTTCATCAAACTCTTGACCTTTTTTCTAAGGGTACAATGATGCAGTTGAAATAATGGTGAGGTCAGTGTGAACAAAGACAGCTGCTCTCAGTTTTTTTCAAAGGCAGAAGTCAAAGGTTCTGCCCTATTTTTTTTTTTTCCCCCACATATCCATCTCTCAGTACCCCCAGTCTTGGAATGTTCTATGTCTTTACCTCTACCTCTCCTGCAATGTTTACCTCTTCCTGTTCTGTGCAATGCCTCTAATCTCAAAGTTTCTCTGTCCTTTTAATTTCCTATTTTTTTTCATATCCTGATCCTATCCCCTCCTAGAAAAAACACGTGGCCTGTGTTTTGCTTTTGATGTTGGCTGGTTTTACAGTCAAAGTGTGTCTCAGTCTGAATGTGAGTCTGTAGCACTATGGCTGACTCGCACTAATTGCTCTGGTAGAAACGCAGACATGAAGTAGTTCATCTTGCTTTCACTGAGGGCACTAGCAGCTCACAGCTTCTAGTGAGGAAAATTTTGTACAGAGGCTGCTGTTTTGGAGTAGCAGACAGGAAGTGAGTTGGAGATGTTGATTTGTTTAGCCATGTCTATATTTTGGTTAATTCACATTGCTCTGCTTCAGGTAGGCAGCTCTATTTTCAGCAACAAAATTTTCTGCAGAATAAAGATGGAGTAAACTGTCTTGCTGGTCTTACTGGTGCTTCTGAGCAGTAATGACAACTGCGTCTATTCTGCTTCAGGGAAAATTAAGCTTGTTGAATTTTGGCTCTTCAGAGAGGGCATTAGTATCTAAATTATGAGACTCAATGTTTGTCAGTGGTTTTTGAGCTTGCAATTTATAACTTTTTCTGGTACAAAACAAGGAAAAGAATCCCAGTATTTGTAACAAAATTAATAAAAGTAGCATTACTTTCACATTGAAAAAGTATGAGTGGTTTAAAGAGTATGCACAAATCAAACAGAACCAAATTGTCCATTGCAAACTGAGTTATGTCAATCAGTATTTTCTACTTGCTGCCTTTGCAGAATTATCTGATACCTGCCAGTGCCTCAAGCTCTGCTTACATCCACTCTGCTATTCTTCCTCATTAACGTCACTAAAGACAAAGTGCCAGTGTGCAGTAAGTGCAAAGAGTACTTGTCGCTGTGGCTAAGTGTTAACGCAAATCAGCAGAGTTAATATGTAAGCTTATCAGATGGCTTAAAGTGTGAGTGAAGTCCTACCAACTTTTTCCAATTCTTGCATGCTGCCAGAGCACAGAAGGAACAAAAAAAAAGCTGCCCACTTGTTGCCTTTTTGTTTTATTATTTTAATAGAAGGTCAGTGATGAACCACAGTCTTTTCTTTCTCCCCAATCTATGGTGGTTGAAGAGCACTTGGCAATCAGCAGAACAAGGATTTAGGAAGAGTGGAATCATTATCTGGCTTTCTATGGGCTGCCAAAAGACAGAAGAGCAACCCCAAGTACATGCTGGTAGGTAGTATAGAAGGGCTTATGTTTCTGACCAGCCCACTAGGCTTTGCAAAAACATGGCACTGAGTGGGAGCATATGAGCTCCGAAAGCAGACCTGAAGCACTTTGTGTCATCCTTTGTAAGTCTAGAAAATAGTTGCAGTGTGGTATGTTTCCTACTGACCTTAGTGTGGAATTTAAAAGAAAATTTCATTATGTACTTTATAAGATTATAAAGATGTCCTCATTTTCCCTGTTCCTTCAAGAAATAGTTTGTTACGGCAGAACAAGTCACGCATCCTTCAAATGCAGACTTCTGTCTACAGCATAATGATTCATGGAAGGAAACCCTGTCATTAGTAAGGCAGGGAGAGAGGAGAGAGGAACTTGTGCTGGCTGCAGGGGCAGTGATTTTGGAGAGGCAGCTACAGTGCCTACAAAATACTTAATGTAAATAAGAGCCACAGTGAGGTGCCTTGGTAACCAGGGCAGTTTAGCAGCTTAGTGACAATTCTTATCTCTTGATGAAACAGAGACACAAGTCTGGAAGACATCATCTCCAGGTGGGTGAAGATAGCTGGTAAACCTATGGCTGCTACCACCAAGGTGTCTGCTGGTGGCATGAAAAAGGCAGGTGTCAAACTGGGCACTGTTTTGCTAGCCCTGGACTGGATGCAGTGACCTCTGGGACTGTTTGCTATTCAGGGCTGGAACTGAATGAAGCCTGGGTGTCTCAGCCAGGCCATAGTGTGGAAAAGATCCAGTAGGACAGGAGCAGGAAACGCACTAACTTGATTCCTAGTTATCTGTTTGTGACAAATATTGAACAGTGTGGGCATTACTAAAAATCAGTAATTAAATGGAAATCCTTCAGTATAAATAAGAATCTGAAATATCATTTTTTTATACTTTTCTCCTATGATGCCTGTTTATCACTACTAGGTACCTTATTAAAGCAGGGTTGCTGCTTGACACATGTATTTAATGAAGGCAAGACAAAAGTTTCAGTGTATTTTCAACATCCTATTTTTCTTTCTTCCTCCCAATCCCTGTAAAAAGCAACATAGTTTCAAAGCCAATATAATGTAGAGTGCAGGAAGATATTAAATCCACTGTGATAAGGCAAGCCTCATCCATCTAATGTTGAATGGTAACTGTGCATTTTAAAAATCAAGGAAGATTGTATTGTTATTCATGTTACTGATATTCTGAATTTCACTAAGTCTGTGAAAAATGTTGCTGCAAAATACAGGTTTTTTCTTTGGTTAAAAGTTTTTAAAAAAAGTCTCAGTGAAAGGAATATCTGAAATATTTAAGGATGTTGTTGCATAGGAAAGACACTGGAACCAGTGGATGAGTGCAAACCCACACTGGATGTAGAAACCATCCAGTGCATCTCAGCAGCTGCGCTTATCTTTTTCACACGAACGTTTATCCTTTTGAGTTGTGCAGTTATGCTAGGACTGTGGGATCTGAATCTTGAGTTGAAGCACTTCTCTTTTGCAGCACATCATAACAGCTCATATTTAAAAGTTAACTTATTCTACCCTTTCAGTAAGTCAACTGGTCATATACATTAATAAGCTAGAGTTATTTAAAGAGCTAAAAGAATTATTTATTGTGGATCAAACAATGAGAGCACTTGGATATCAGAAAGTGAAACCAGTTCACTTAAGAATTTATACTGTCTTTTATATATTTCTTGTTGTATTATGATTAATTTCTTACCCCAAAGGGGTGCCTATCATAAGGCTGTAAGTTTATTTGGGGCCTTAGAGAAAAACACAAATCATTCAGAGGTCATTAGGGAGCTATCCCAGGCTACACTGGTGAGTTTTGTTCTTATCTCCTTTAGACCTAGAGTGAAATCAGGTCTTCTAAATGAAGATAAATCTCAGACTTTAATGTCTGTTTTAAGGTAATTTGTACTTTTAGACCAATAGCAGGAGTGTATGCTAGAGTTCTTTGGAAGAGGAATAAGACACAGTTGAGTGTTTATCTCAGCTCAGTTACCTAATTCTCCAAAAGCAATGCTGGCTCTACTGCATTCCAGTTGAAAATCTCAGATACCAGTTTATCAGGATGCTAATGCAGTAAGGTGAGAGGCTTGCTGAGATGATGTCTGAGCCATTCATGAAGCTCAGGCAAACTCACTGCTGCACAGATGTGTCTCGCAGGGGAAGGCACTGATGCAATCAGGGTTCAGGTGAACTTCTTTGGGCCAGTACATCTGCTCTGTGTTATGCCACCCACACAGGCAGTGACTTTGTGTTGTTCTGTTTACCCGACTACATCTCTTGGCACTAGATTAATTATTTATCTCAAAAGTCATGGATTACATTTCAAAACCATAGAAATGTGCTTTGAGTGCAAGGCTCAGAAGTTGCTCAGCCTATGCCAGAGATTCTGCTACTTAGACGTGGACAAACTGTGCCTTTGCTTCCAAACTAAAAAAAAATGAGTTGGCAGAAGGAAATCCAGATGGTCTCAGGAAGGAGATTTTGCCCATCTCAGTTGTATACCATTCCTAGATCTCCAGTCAGAAATCTCAGAAGTTTTCCCTATTTCAATGAAATTGCTGTTGTTCCTGAAGCACTGTGTTGAGGCATTCCTATACTTTGGATAAGGAGATATTTCTGAGGAATACAGATTTGTAATGCACTTGGAAAGAGTGATTTGACTTCTCTTTCTGTCAACACAGCAGAACTTTGTAAATGCACTCTTTCTAAGGCCTTTGGATGTGGAGCACTGAAAAGAGACCAGAACAGACATGTAAGTAAATTCTAGTGATGTAAGGGTCAGATTTTCATGTACAGAATGAATTTGATACCAAACAAATACATGCATACATTTTTATATTCAAGCAAGTGCAGCCAAACGCAGCAAAACTGCATACTGCCTAGCAACATCAGAAACAAGTCTCTCTGTATACTAGTCAAAACCAGGCAGAAAGTTCTGTGCTTCTACTTATCTTCTAAAATCCTTAGAGAAGATTTTGCTTCTCTGATTGAACTACTGCTTTCATATTTTAAAAGCTGTTTATTATTGTTAAGACAATGAGATCAAAGTGTTCTAGCTGTTCTAATTACTGCCTTATTTGAATGGACATCAAGATGAGACAAGTGAAGTACATATCTGGTTTTGGTGAACTGGGACAGAGTAGACTTATCACCAAGATCAGTCTAAACTTCTACTACTTGTACAGTCTTTTTTGCTGTTTATACAAGTATTAATAATGAAAGATGAGTGACCAGGTGTTAATTGCTTTCTGCACAGTTGGTCATGAAGTATAGACAGCAAAGGGATTTTTCTCAAATACCCTGCCAGGTAATTGGCCACCCACAACTGCAGTCTTTAAGGTCTTCCCTCCTACCCTATTGCATCAAAGAAATGGGACAGTGGGATGCATAATTATAGCTACACTCAACATGGCAGCCTCTCTGGTACCAGTAAGAGCCAGAAACACATGGAAAAGCAAGTCCTGCCCAGGCAACCTGCTCAGTCTGCTGTGCATTGCATAAGATGGAGGACACCCCTCTAGCTGCTCTGATGGGGTCTGCATCAGAACTTGATCTTCCCATGTCATTGCACTCAATATAGCATCATCAAAGGAAAGAAATAGATTTATACAGGTGAAAAAATGTGTTTTGAAGCACATCTGTGTATTAATAGTCCACATATGTGGCTTTCTGAATGACCTGTCTGGCTGAGAGAAGTGGAGATTTCTGTTTCTAATTGTTCCTCATTTCCCTGTGAAGAAAGTCTGAGGCACCTTTGTCCCTTCATTTAGTAGAATTAGTCACCATAGTTACCAACAAAGCACAGGCTAAATTCCATGGAACTGGTGAAACTGAAATGCATACAAAAAAAAAAAAAAAAAAAAAAAAAAAAAAAAGCCTTGGATTCTAGAAGCTTTACAGTTTCCAGATATTTGTACAAGAGAGAGAATTCTTTAACATTGAAATTAGTAGTTACGACCTTCAATTTAATTTTGACTGAATGTATTCTTCCGAGTGCCCAGCAGTCCTGCCTACGTGCAACAAATGGCAGTGGTAGGTGCAGCACCTGGTCAGTGCAGCTGGCTATTTCCAGTTTGGCAGCAAACTGTTGTACTGCCTCATACACCAAGCACAGCCTGTGAGACACTTTAGTAAGGCAGGTGCCTTCCTTTCCCTTCCTGACTCCGGATCTGCATCATCTGCACATTGCCTACCGATTAGCTGTCTTGCACACCTGGCAGTATTAAAATCAGAGATTAATTCAAGATTAAAATAGCATCAAACCTATTCAAATACATGTGTATTTGTGCGTGCATGCATCTGTGTGTTAGTATATATATGGGTACTTGATGATGACTGTAAGAATCCATTGCAAATTAAAATAGCTTTTTTGGATATCTTGGCATTAATTACGCTCATTAGGCTCCTTTGACATCATTCCTTTACTTATACGTATTCCCAAGTTGTTTTTAAATGCATCCTGTTTTCTGTCTATCCTGTTATCAACCAGTTTTATTATAACTCTTGTTTTTCCTGGAAGTTTCTAATCACGAGCTAAACCACTGACACATGTGAAAGAAATAATGCCTCCCTAATATGGGATTTCATTCATTTGCTTTAAATGGTCTTTTCATTGTAGACAGCTCTGCATGCTAGGAAGAGCTTTGTTATTGTGTTTCCTTAAAAGGAAAAAAACAAAAATGCCTACAAACAACTCTTTGGGATTAGAAGATCTAGAATCTAGGTGACCTGACAACTATAACTCAAAGAGAGATCCGAAAATGCTTCATCTGCAACCTTGCTGAAACAGAAGTTAGTGGAAAGCAGGTTCTTTTCTGAATTGATGGAGCCCCTGAATTAGTACATCCTGTAGACTGCGACCAGACAGATTCTTTCTAGTTCCCCTGAGCACTGTCACTCCTGCATTGCCAAATTCTTTGCTATTTGGTGAGTGGTCTGTGCTGAATTGGATGAAACAGCTCTGTCTGACCTGCTCAGTTCAACCTGCTCTGGTCTGACCTTTGGTAAGTTGTCAAGGATGGGCTTCAGGTGAAAGAAATCTGCAGAAGAAATGTAGTTCTTCATAAGCAACACTCCATGGCATGAGTTAGAAAATTGTCAGGGAAACTGCACTGTGTTTGATGGAATACTCTAAGCTAAAGCCATGATATTTTATATCAAACTGAAATGAAAGCTTGAAACTAAATCAACATGGTTTTTCAGTTTTGCATTCTTCTGTTCTCTGCTTTTCTTGAGAGCTCTGTCTAACAAATTTTACATGGTTCAAAAAAGATTTTCTATGTTAAAACTTTCAGATAAAACCAGATTTACTGGTTATTCAATTCATTATCCAACACCTCATTATTCCAAAATATGTAGCATTTCTATCTGTTATGTAAATGTTCCTGTAGCACATAATGCCACACTGAACTGTAAATACCATGTAAAGACTACTGGAGGAATTACTGCATGGTGTTAGCTCACTGGTAATCTGTGAGACAGTTGCTATACTTCTATTTGGGAATTTGCAGAAAGATGTATGTCCCCAACTCTTCCCCAGAGTTGATGGAATTATGTGAATGTATAAAGGGCAAGAATAATTCCTACTTCTTATATGAAATAAACGTGATTTTTTTGTATTGAAAAAAAAACCCAACCCTAATAATCTATTTTTGTTTTTACTCTTCAGTCTTTTAAAAAGAATAGCTAAGCTGATTTAAATTAAATTTTACAAAGCATATGCTCCTGGGCAGAAATCTTATAAATCTACTTTCAGCCCAAAGCACATTTTTATGGCTGAGCTATAATAAACCACTCAGAACAGGCATTCCACTGGAATTGCTTACAGAATATAGTAGCACGAAAGGTATTATTGCTATAAAGCTTCATCATAATGTTTGAATTTAGTTGACAGAACCAGAAGGGCTATTTTTATCCAGTTTGACCTCTCATCACTGGGTCCTAGTAGAATCTCATGCTACAAAGAATAAAACAGCCAGAAATTCAAACCAGAATAATGATTAAAATAATAAAGTAGAGGCCAGAGTATCTCAATGCAATGATACATTTGATATATGAGTGCTGCTGTACTGAATGTATTGGTGCAGGGAAAATGTGAAAGAAACAAAGCATTTGTCAGGAAAGTTCTTCTTCAACAGTGAATACCAAGGTGATCTGGATGTGGCTTCATTACAAATTTAGTTTTGCATATGCTTGCTATCTTAGTTTGCAAAATAGGGCAATCTCTTTGGTTGTTACACAACCTAAGTGTCACATGGCACTGCAGAAATATACCAAGTGGATAATAGGTGGCAAGGAGGGGTGACAGAAGCAACAGAAAATAACAGAAATGGAAACAAAGTACAAAAACTTTATGGAAGTCTGGGCACTATCACATGATTATGCAAAGTGCATGTTAAAGGACTTATGAAAGCTGTTCATAGTTGAAATGAAATGTTTACATAAAAACTTCCCCATACAGATGTCTCTGTGTCCTTTGGGTAAGATGCCAGGTTATTTAATGACCTACTTACTCTTGTACCACATCCAAGGTATAATCTCTGTTTCACGTAGGAGAAATATGTTGACTTTTAGTGTTGGGAGATCTTTTTTCTGCTTTATCTAATAAAAGCATTTTAGTCTGCCTCTTGTGAGGAGGTTCTGGTCATGCGTAAGAGGATGTCAGAAGGGAAATGTAAACCATGTGTCTGCGTTCATTAATCCCCTATGCTTGCTACTCCCTAAATCAGAAACAGCACAACTGATGCAGCCCCAAGTATCAACAGCAGCAGTTTGAATATAAAAGGCCTGTCCTTCATCCGACATAACAGCATATCACTGCTTTGGTCTCAGTACACCACTGTAGTCAAGATCAGACAATGTGTACTTTTCTTCTGTAATCCTTTCTACATGTAAATAAAAGCATGGACATAAGATGTAATTTACCCTGAGCGATGTCTTTGAGATAATAAAAGGTAAATATGTGACAGCAATTAGTTTCAGTTAAGGAGATGCATTTGGAGTAGATCACATGTGTATTTGGAAATAAAAGGAGAGAGAATGGGATGTTACACGTTCTTCTAGAGGAAGCTGAGGTGCATTGAAATTCTCCCTTTTGAGAGAGAAATAGCAGTTTTTACTAGAAAGCTGGATTCTGACTCTTATGTGAAATGAATTAGGAGAGAGGCATCACTGCCAGTTTGAATAGGTGCAACTGGAATGACAGGAAGGAGTGTTTTCTCGGCTTCATGTCTGCAGATTTTTCAAACTGTCATGAAAATGAAGGCACAAGAGACTGGCAAATAATTCTCAGAAATGATGCATTGATGCCACATCCTTAACTGAGAACCAGGGAGATCACAGGGTCAACCTGTTCTCAGGCAAAAGAGCAGGAAGCAAGACAGGAAGGGCTGCCAATCATGCATGCATCTGTGATAGCTTCCTCGAACATCTTTCCTTTCTGTTATTTCAAAGTGCTCTGAAGTATCATACAGCAGCAACAGTTGAACAACACAACTGAGATGCAGGAGGGCTGCTTAGCTATAGCCCTTCCTTAACTGCTAGTAAAGACATGTGTCTATGAAATGAATGGATGAACGGTGGTAAAGGAAGAGGATGACCAGTGCCTGCAGGATGAAGTCCTAATCCTTCACTAGCCGGTTCTGTTTTCCTGATCAGTGATCCAAATAGAATTGTTGGTTGGATGGGAAACTTCATCCACCCATGGATGACAATTCAAAACCTACTCCAGCAAGATTTCTTTCAGTCCTTGCCATCAGGTTGTAACAGTTTCATTTAAATATCCCTATTGCTTTACTTGTTATCCAGCTCTCAAAAAAAGAAAAAAAAAAAAAAAAAAAAAAAAAGGAGTAAAGAGAAGACATAAAGAGAAGACATGCTACAGAGCTTTTTTTTTAAAGTGTATTTGACCACCTTGGAGGTATTGTTGGTTGTGCTGAGTAAAAGGGAAAATTCAGAGCTTGGCTCAAATTAATAATGCACGCAGCCAGAATGTGAAATCTAAACCACAAGTTATTCAAGCTATTCAGACTCTTCAACATGAAGACACCCTCAGAGCCAACAAACTTTTGCATGATTTCTAATACCCCCAGTTCTATTTAGGAAATGATGTGAAAATCCTATGTAGGTAAACATTTTCCCTTTTTGTATTGACAGATTTCAAAAAAATGTTCTGGTCCCTCAGCATGTTTATTTCATTTGCAAAAAGTATTAAAATTTCTGTAACTGCTTTTCCCTGGAGTGAATTTCCTAGGATCCCTGGTACAGCTGTATTTTTATATGTGTTCTACAAGCTTAAAATGCAAAATCCTGAGTCTCTTGTTCTTCTGTGTGTACAAGAGGTTCATCCTCGGACACTAGGGAAAAACTCTGTCATGAATCTGTGAATTTGTAAAGCTTTTTTCAATATATTCAAGAAGTACTGAAATCATTTACTATGCTTAAAGACAGACTCAGCGAACGAGTGCCTGAAAAACAAGAATTCAAAAACTCTGAACTTCAACTGCAGATGTCTAATGCAAGCTTACAGATATTTTTCCTCATTATATGAATATTTGAGAACTTTGTGGAATGATAATCTTGAGAACATGCCATAGTCTGAGGACATATATATGCAGTGAAGAAGTTTTCAGAATCTGCAGGCTGCTCCAGTGGTTTCTTAAATAAAAGAAAAATATTACAATATTGAAGAAAGAGAAAGATATACCCATTTGTTTGGTGGTGATTGTTATTTTCTTTATTTTTTTATTCGCTATTCATTCAAATGAGAGCAACTTTTGCAGTCTCTGCTGGATTTTTTTTCCACAAGTTTTGCACCATTTAGAAATAAGAATCCTTTGCTCACATTGAACTACCACGAGGTTCACAGAGTATTGAGAGCAGAATCTTCTGAGTAGCAAAGCTGATCCAGTTTGTAACTGTTGCTCAGGACACCATGAATATGATTTATGTTGCAGACACTCCCATTGTTTCTGGTATGAGAAATTATGCAATGTACATATGCAGTCATTTGCCCCAGACTTTCTCCCAGTTTTTCCTCTATGTACTCCTCACTATTTCTCAGGGAATGCCTCTCCTTAACTAGCCTTTGCCAGAAATCAGCAAAGCACTGGTATGACAGTTGCTATTAATATTTTTAAGGGCAATAGTGGGGCAAAGACAGCATTTTACCTTATTCAGCAGAGCAATAGGGAGAATAAATATCAACTAAAGAAAGCATATAAGTTTCACTTTTCAGCTTGAAATCTTGATGAATAGTGTATGTTTCATGATACTTGCAGGTTGTGTCCTCTGCAGCACTTTCTCTCCCCTCTCCCTGCCTGGCTGCAGCTTGATGAAAAAGAGTAATATTAATCATTGAATCACTGGTATTTAGTAACCTGTTTCACCTCATAGATTCCAATGTCTTTAAAAATCTTAAAGAGAAATGAACATGTACTTGGAGCCCCACTTGATGCGTGAAGCTGCCAGTAGCAAAAGGCCAGGTTGCACTTCTACAAAACAGAAGGAAGGAGAATGATGCGCAGAAACGAAAGCATCTTACAAATGAACTCTTACAAAAATGTTTCCCTGTCTGTGAGAAATCACTGTGACATGAAACTGGTTTAGAGGGGAGGCCCAGAGGTTTTTTCATTCAGCAGATCTTGGCATAGAAATCCTAGCCAAGGTACAAGAATAACCCACGCCTTACTTGAAAGAAATGGCAGCCTTGGGCAGGCCTAGTGTCCAAGCAACCACTGCCTGTCAGAACAGCTTCCTGGATCCTCAGGCAAGTATTCCTGAGTTCACCTCAGGGACAGGGCTTTTTTCATCTCTTTGGCCCCACAAAAATACAGATACATTGTCTTCTTTCCTCACCTTGAGTCAAGTACAGGACAGCATGGACATACCCCCTCATCAAACCTCACTTTGTAGAACATGACCTATTAAAACTGCTAAAGTGTTGAGGACACCTGCTTGCTGGTCCCACTAGCTCTCTTTGCAGATCTTGAATGTAAGCATTACTTGAGTAAATTTGTTCAAGCTAGTGTGTCTTTCTTTCTGTACTGTCTTGGAGATGAGGGCACCAGCTGAAATCAGCCTTTACTGTGGATGAGGCTAAAAGGAATTCATGATCCTTAGACATTCCTAGCTGTAATACAAACATAAAGCATCACACTAGGGGTGCCAACGAGAGCAAGCAGTTGCATTTCAGTGATAAATGTCACCAAGTTGATCTTAGAAGGGGACAGTGCTGGCTGAGGGTCTGCAAGCTTGTCCTCCTGTTAAAAGCCTTTTTCTCAGCACTGATGTGCAAGGAGCTTCAGGACAATATTTTATTGTTTTTCTACTGCTGAATGAACCAGAAGCCTGCAGGCTCTGAATGTGTTTCTGAAGAAAATTGCCTGGCTTTTCTTCCTTTTACAGAATAAAACCTCATCAGAATTTTCATCTTGCAGGAAATGGTTATTTTCATTTTTCATTATAACTTGAGTCATCCAAAAGAGAACGCTAAAATTCCCTTGGAGACAGAAATTTTGAGTTTGGCCAACTTTGTTCACCTTTCATACTCCATGTTCTGACGCACTGAGGCAAAGGAACTGCTGAGAATAACCTTTATCACTGCATATTTCATCCATTCCAGAACAACTTCATTTTCTGCAATGACTGAAAGAAAAGGTCTGCATCAAAAAGTAAGTGACCAGGTAGCTAATGACTTTATGATAAAGCATATGAGCAATGGATCTACATTAAATTTTAATGGCTGTCCCTACTTTTGGTGTTGCTTCGTCCCTTTCAAGCACTGGTCTTCACATGCTTGACCGTTTTTTTTTCGGATATGCATTGTGCCTTTGAAACAGCACATTGAAAGCGCTCTGTATGATATAAATGAATAAGACCTCCCATTAGGTTGAGAAAAATGAGATTAAAAAAATAGGGACATAACTGAGGCACTCTGAAAGAAGATATACATTTCTAGATAGTACTACTCAAGAGTCTGTAGTCAAAACTCATGATTCTGATGATCGAAGGAATAATAATTGGAAAAAAAACATGGTACTTAAGGTAGTAGCACCTATAATTCCATTGGGAAAAATAATGGTACTGTTAGGAAGTTTCCGAATGGTGTTGGGAACAGAGAAGTGGCATAGTCTCCAGTATTTGAAGAGCTTGGCACATTACTTTTCTGAGCTCAAATTCAGTATATAGGACAGAGAGGTTTTATCAAGAAGTTTTGAAAAAGTGACACCCTCATTCCTATTAAAAGAAAAAAGAGTTTGTATCTAATATATCACAGAATCACAGAATTGCAGAAGTTGGAAGGGACCTATAAAAATATTCCTCTTTTAAGAGATTACATGAAATTTCTGAGATGTATTAGAGATACACTGGTTTCAGCTGCCTGGTATGAGATTATTGCTGATTTTGTATTCACCTGATCCTGGCTTTTGTGTTCAGAAAGGGTGAGTATTAATTATTTACATTGCTATAAATATTTGATTACTATGATATGCTGTCTGCAGTCCCATTATCATTCAGACCAGTGGAATGGCTCCTGCTCTCCTGCTACAACAGACAAAAAAATGGGGTGAGACTGAAGGCAGTTCAACAGTGGCCTGTATGGGAGGTAGTGGTATATCCTGGTTTAGAAGCCCTCTGATGTCTTCAGTGATGTATATGTCACTTTGTGAGCAAGCACTACGTGTGGCCATGCTAGTACTGTGCATTAAAATATTAAAGCATGGATACGGATAGTCCAAGTCTGATTTACTGTTTGTCCTCTGGTAACTGCAAAGAGACATCTCATGTCCCACGCAGGCCCTAGCACTAAGTAGTTTCATCATTCTAGCAGTGTCTCCAGCTTCTGTAGGATGATACTGCACTTACAGTCATGCCCATAAGCAACTGCCTTGTTAGATCTTGCCTTTGTGTTAGGTGATTTTTAGCCCTGTTTTGTATAGGATTCAGATATCACCACATTTATTACAAAAAATGGATAATAAGATGGAAATAATGAGTGAGAAAAGACATCTAGCCTTTTGTTATAATAAAGAAAACACACGATAGCAAGAGGGAATGTGTTAGATTTATACCCTCATTTATATGTTTTTGCCCTTGTTGTGGAACTGGATGCTTGAGATCCCAGCTGCTTCTTTCCAGTCCTACATTCCTCTTTTTCTCATCATTTCACAGTATTTCTTTCTTCAAGCTTCTAGTATTTTGCTTTTTATTATGGATAGTCATCCTTTCTGCAGAGAATGGTCTCAGCTCAGACCAGCTCCAGCTTCTTTCATCTTTTTTTTTTTTCCATTAAAAAAGACTGAGAAGAAGCTCCTTGAGCGTAAGCATTGCTCCCATTCAGAATAACATTAACAGAGTCTTTAGTCCTATACATAGTAAGACATAACTATTAATGAAATTACTTTTCTACTGTGATAGATAGATTGTTGCATTGCCTCCAATAGATAATCCAATCCAATCCAGTAGATAATAGCCAGTGAAACAAGTTTCGCATAGAAAGATGTCAAGATCTAACACTTTCCTTTCCTTTGGAAAGAAAAGGTAACATTTTCTGGCTTAGACTGGGATGCTGTGACTTTGTTGGCAAGAGTGTCTACACAGGCTAAGGGTACATGAAGCTGTGTGAAACCAGCTGTTGTTCTCTGTGAGGACTCATAGATTCCTTTTTTTTTTTTTTTAAACTTCAAAATGATTGCCAAATACTGGAGCAGACTGGCAAGGGAACTGCTGGAAGTGCTTTCAGGTCCTTAAAAAGCCCCTAGGAAGAGGTCCTGGGGAAAGATGTAAGGCACTAGGGAAGCAGGAAGAACTGGGAATGTCTTCAACTTCCTTCCAATCTGTTTTCCATGATTTGACTTTGCAAGTAAATTTTATTCTGCTCCAGGATCTGGAGTTCAGATGAATTCCCAGATCTGGATGTGAAAGGGAATGCTGCTGTTAATCAACCGCAAATCTTTCCAGTGGTATCTTACACTCAAATTATCTAGACCCTGAAGCATCCATCAGAATAAGTCCATCACTTCCAGGTACATTCTGTTATGACATTACTGGTTTGTCCTAGTTTCAGTATAAACTAGTGTGAAAATGGATTTTTAATGGTTTACAAGTGAAACCATTAACTGAACTAAGATTTGTGGGAGCCACCAGACAATGACATTAAACTTCAACAAAGTTTTTTTTTTAACCACTTGTAAGGTACTAACTTATGATGTCCCATATCACTGATGCGTGGAAGCAAACCAGATTTCTAACAATAATGCAGCTCCTGGTTATACATGTTTAGTGTGGTTTTCCTTTAACTCAGAAAATTGTATCTGCTACCGTAGTCAATAGTTAACTGAGAATTTTTTTTTTTTTAAAGTTTCAGTATGCCTTAAAACATTTAAATAATATTTTTAAAATAATTAAAAATGTTACATGACAAAAAGAAACTCTCAACTCTCTTCTCTGTTTTAGTGTTCTTTCTGAATTAATACATCATATCTTTTATTTTTAGAGATTAGAGTGTGCTTCTTTATCATCCCTTACTTTTCTGTGGGAGAGTAAGGAAAATTGGAATTTCAATTTTGATTCAACTTTTGACAAAGTTTTTTGACTTGTTGACTTTTTTTTGACTGCTTTTGATAGAAAGTTCAAAAGCACTCATCACAGGGTGTGTGGTCACTAACATTATGGTTGCTGATTAGAAGAACACTGTTTTACAGTGCAAGGTCCAGATGCTTTTGATGGGATATGGAACATTCCCTGTTTCCTTTTGATCAAAGTGCAATGCAACAGGAGCATTGGCTAAACCAATCTATCTGAATCAATTCAGTTGAAAGCCAGGTTTCATGCTTACAGTATCTATATTACTGTGCTCATTCACCTCATAGAAAGGACCACTCTGTTTAGGGCCTTTTTTGTGTATGTTAAAAATATTTGTGCATTCAGTAGTTAGTAAATGTTATATAATATCACATCAACCTATGTAACATGATGCAACATTGCATAAAGCTATTAGTTTTGCCCCTTGACATGGTGGAGAATAAAAATTAGATTTAAATTGCTCCCTTCATTCTTGAAATATCCCAAAGCGCTTTTTGAACTAAATGTATGAATTATATGAAGGAAAGCAGAGTGGGTATTGTGTAACCAGCAATGTCCTAGACACTAGAGCAGATACAGGCTTTTGCTTTCTTTGCAAAAGGAGAATTTGTGGTCTGAGGCACATGTGCCATGTTCAGAAGCTCGACATGCAGCTGGCAATAAGAATTATTAGGAATTCATTGTGCCATTACCACTACTAAAATGGGAATGGATATTGTGGTCAGATCTGAGTATTTTTATACATATTCAAAACACGGCGATTATCTGAAAGCTGCTGCATCATTAATACCTTGTGTACTAGTTCCATAATATCATATTATATATTATATTTTAGAGCTATGAGTCATTTGTAACTGGAGTTTATAAATAGCCTTTTTGTCATAGACTGTGGCGCAATTATGGCAGACAAAGGAGATAAATATGAAGTTTAAGAACTACTCAGATTGATAAAGTCAAATTCAAATGTCTAAAATACAATTCCCTTTACCCTAGACGATATATCCCTAGAAGACATATTAGCATGCAATTTCTGCAGTGAGAACTGAGTTCCATGAGCTGTAGAATTTATCAGAACTCTTCCTATGTTTCTTTTGCATGCTTTCTCTAATGTCTGATGGACAAATGCTGAAATCTTGTCCTTGGCAATGTCAAAAATTTGTGTCTGTTTCTATTTTCTGAAATTAATTTTCAAAAAAAATTGTACATCATTACTATTTCAGAAATATTTCCTCTGTCAGCTTTGGCTGAAGCTGTTTGCAGCTTCCAAATGGTTTGTGAGAAATTTGACAGCTAATCACATGGTGAAGGAGCCTTTATCTTGGTGCCTTGGAAATCCACTCCTAAGATGATACAGCACAAATATATTAAACCAATTAATAAGGGGTCCATCTGCACACTGTCTTCAACACAGAACATAAATATATGATTCAGAAGCAGTAAAAATGAGACAAATTTATGTGGCACGTCCTGCAGAATAAGATGTTTCTTGTCCAGGTACTCGTCCATTTTCTTGGAGAACTCATCTAAATTGCAATTTATTTGTTTGTTTTTTTTTTTAAAGCTGGCTCCTACCATCTTCATTTGATGTGTCCTAGACTTTGTTTTGAGAAGGGTGAAAATCCATTGCCTCTTCACTCTCTCAAAGACACTTGTAATATTGTAGTGTGTATAACCAAGATGTTATAGTCACAATATAATTGTGTATAATCAATAGATATCAAGATGTTATAATTGCAATATAATCAAGAGAGTAAGGCAAAGCAGACAACAATCACAAAAAGAGAATAAGTGGAAGAGCTTACCCTTGGGTTGAGCTCACCAGAAGATACCAGAAGAGGCAATCTCCAGAAGAGATCCTTCCCCTCTGGTAGCCAGCTCTTAAATAGGTCCAGGAGGGGTGGAGCCAGGCTCCACCCCTTCCGGCAGCACAGGTGAATTGCCTTCACCTGTGCTCCTCTGGCTGACTCAAGGCTCACCTCAGGTGATCAATCAGAGGTTCAGGCCGTGACTCAGCAGTTCCCATACATAGTGATACCCCATTTACTGTCATGAATTGTCTCTTTCCCAATCTGAAGAGTATTAACCT